CCCCCCATAAAAGAAAAAGGTTCTCCTGATCCCAAAGGAACAAGCCCCAGACCCAGGTCAATATACAAATCAGATCTTACCCACAAATTACGCTGTTGCCAATCCTTTAGAATCTAAAGGTTTATTCATAAAAGGAAAAAATATAGATGAGAGCTAGAATTGGTTAAATGGAATCAATTACATACAGTAATGGCAAAGTCCGGGTAAATCCGGACGAATGGTAACCCTATTCAACCTGTAATTATAAATGGGGAATCATCATCATCAAGTGGGTATGTTTCTACTGGATCTGACAAGGACTGGTTCTTGGCTGTACACTATAACATTTTTATTGATGATCTGGAAGAAAACAAAATCACTGATAGTTTGCAGTTGACACAAAGATTGGGGGAGTGGTAAATAATGAAGAGAACAGTCACTGATGTAAATCGATCTGGATCACTTGGTAAGCTAGGTGCAAGAAAACATGCATTTTAATACAGCTAAATGTATATGTATAGGAAAAAAGAATGTCGGCCACACTTACGGGATGGGGGACTTTATCCTGGGAATCAGTGACTCTGAAAGATTTTGGGGTCATGGTGATTAATCAGCTGATCATGAGCTCCCAGTGTGATGCTGTTGCCAGTGCAATCCCAGGATGCGTAAACAGGGGAATCTTGAGTAGGAGTGGGGAGGTTGCATTACCTTTATATTTGGCACTGGTGTGATTGCTGCTGGAGTACTGTGTCCACAATTCCAGAAAGAATTGTTGAGGGTTCAGAGAAGAGCCAGAGCATGATTAAAGGGTTAGAAAACCTGCCTTAGTGATAGACTCAAGGAGCTCAATCTATTTAGCTTAACAAAGAGAAAGCTAAGGGGTGAGTTGAGTACAGACTATAAGTACCAACAGGGGGAGCAAATATTTGATGATTGGATCTTCAGTCTAGAAAACAAAAGTATAAAAAGACCCAGTGGCTGGAAGTTGAAGCTTGACAAGTTCAGATTGGAAATAAGGTAGAATTTTTTTAACAGTGAGGGTGTAAGCAGGTTCAGGACTCACCCCAGCAGCACCTCCTGCTGGTCGTCCGTGGGAATTAGCTCTCCAGCCATCGGTGTGCCCTCTGCAGGCCGGTGATCCGCCTTACCACTGGCCCCGTGTCCCTCCCAGGAGTAACCCCCATCTCAGGGTCTCCCCTCCCAGGGGAACCCCCACCCCCTATCCCCATCTCGCCTCAGTCTTGGCTACTGCCAGTCACCACTTAGCCCCCATTCACTAGGGCAGACTGCAGTGTATCAGACACTCATCACAGGCAAATGGGTTCAGACCTGCTGCCTCTGCCTATCCATGGGCTGCCCTTTGCAACCCCCAGTACCTATTTGCCTTATGCTAGGCCACAGCCTGGGGCTTTCCAGGCTGGACTCCCCAGCTCCTCTGCCTTTCCCCAGCCCTGCTCCACTCAGGAACCCTGTCTCTAGCTCCCTGCAGCCAGGCCTGTCTCCCTCTACAGCTAGAGAGAGACTCCTCTTGGGCCTCTGGCTCACAGCCTTTTTATACAGGCCAGCTGGGGGTCTGATTGGGGTGTGGCCCAGCTGCAGCTGCTTCCCCAAACAGCGGTCCCCAGTCACAACCCTCTCCAGGGCTGCTTTTAACCCCTTCTATTTTAGGAGCGGGGTAGCCACCCCGCTACAGAGGGGAATTATCCATTGGAAGAATTTACTATGGGTCATAGTGGACTCTCCATCACTGGCAATTTTCAATCCAGATTGGATGTTTTTCTAAAAGATCTGCTCTAGTTCAAAGAAGAGCTAATTCAGGGAGGTCCTATTTCCTGTTTTAGGCAGGAGGTCAGACTAAGTGATCACAGTGGTCCCTTCTGGCCTTAGAATCTCTGAATCTAGGAATCCTCCATGTATTTCCCTGCTTCCAATCACAGAATCTGTAGAACCATAGGGTTGGAAGGGACCACAAGGGTGTAACGATGCTGCCCTTGGTGGGATACAACTGAGAGTACCAATTCAGGACAAATTGCTTCGAGCAGGGCAGTTACAGCCCAAGGCTGGGGTTTCTCCAGCTTTAAGGCACACCAAACCAGCCAAACATCTGGCTAGCCATAAGTCATACAAGCAATTCCCTTAGACACTCCAGTTTCCCAGTATCACCACCAGTGTGAATTGTTATGGGGACGAATGGTTATGAAAACCAATACCCCCATAAAAGAAAAAGGTTCTCCTGATCCCAAAGGAACAAGCCCCAGACCCAGGTCAATATACAAATCAGATCTTACCCACAAATTACGCTGTTGCCAATCCTTTAGAATCTAAAGGTTTATTCATAAAAGGAAAAAAATATAGATGAGAGCTAGAATTGGTTAAATGGAATCAATTACATACAGTAATGGCAAAGTTCTTTGTTCAGGCTTGTAGCCGTGATAGAATAAACTGCAGGTTTAAATCAAGTCTCTGGAGTACATCCACAGCTGGGATGAGTCATTCAGTCCTTTGCTCAGAGCTTCAGTTTGTAGCAAATTCCCTCCAGAGGTAAGAAGCAGGATTGAAGACAAAATGGAGGAGTTTTCAGGGCCTTTTATATCCTCTGCCCATGGAAGGACACCACTTCTTACTGTGGAAAATCACAGCAAGATAGAGTTGGAGTCACATGGGCAAGTCACATGTCCATGCATGACTCAGTTTGCAGGCCGACACCATTGTTTACATGTTAGTTTGAACATTCCCAGGAAAGCTCAGATGTGGATTGGCGTCTCCCAGAGTCCATTGTCAGTTAAGTGTTTCTTCATAGGACTATTCTCAGTAAGTGCCCACTCTCAAGAAGCTGACCAAATGCTTCACTGAGGCTACTCAGAATCAAATACATTTGAGATACAAGTACATAGCCAATATTTATAACTTCAACTACAAAAGTGATACACACATGCAGATAGCATAATCTTAACCAGCAAATCATAACCTCTTTATAGACACCTCACACAACAACCGTTGTACAATATTTGCTGCAAATATATAACAGTGGTGGCAACAATGATCTATACAGTTCCAGTTCATATTAATAACGTCACAAAAGGTCATCTAGTCTAGCCCCCTGCCAAGATTCAGGATTTGTTGTGTCTAAACTATCCAAGACAGCTGGCTATCCAGCCTCCTTTTGAAAATTTCCAGTGAAGGAGCTTCCATGACTTCTCTGGGCAGTTTGTTCTATTGTCCTACTGTTCTTACAGTTAGGATGTTTTTCCTGAGATTTAATCTAAATCTGCTATACTATAGTTTGAACCCATTGCCACTTGTCTTGTCCTCCATGGCAAGAGAGAACAACTTTTCTCCATCTTTTTTTATGGCAGCTTGTAACCGTGCCTCCGTGGGTCACAACTGAGAATACCAAATTCAGGACAAACCACTGAGAAATAGGGCAGATACACCCCAAGACTGGTGGTTAATCTCCAATAGGATATACCAAACCAGCAACAAAAAGTAAACTTCTGTTTCACCACACAGGCTAACAAGAAGTCAGAACAGCAGTTTCCTTAGGTATTCCAGTCCTTGTATCGCCACCAAAAACACAGGA